TGTCTCTCTCTCTCTCTCTCTCTCTCTCTCTATATATATATATATACACACACACACACACACACACACACACACACACACACACACTACTGTGCAAGTGTAAATAAAAAAAAATAAGAAAAATGCTGTAAAGTAAGAATGCTTAGATTTTGTATAGAATGTATAGATTTTTTAATTGTTTATTTTTTATCAATTTACAAAGTGCAAAGTGAGTGAACAGAATAAAAAATCTATATCAAATCAACATTTGGTGCGACTACCCTTTGGCTTCAAACCAGCAACAATTCTTACACTTGCACAAAATCAGGTGCTTGATTAACCAATTATACCGAGCAGGAGCAAATGATCATCAGTTTCATAGATACACAGTCATTACCTGAAACAGAAACAGCTGTGTAGGAGGCTTAAAACTGGGTGAGGAACAGCCAAACTGTGCTACTAAGGTGAGGTTGTGGAAGACAGTTTCAGGTCACAGGTCATACACCATGGCAAGGCTGAGCACAGCAACAAGACACAAGGTATTTTTTACTGCATCAGCAAGGTCTCTCCCTGGCAAAGATTTCTAAGCAGACTGGGGTTCAAGACGTGCTGTTCAAGCACAAAGCAATGGGCAACGTTGAGGACCGTAGACTCAGTGGTCGGCAAAGGAAACAATGCAGCATATGAAAAGACACATCATGCTTACTTCCCTTTGACATCGAAAGATGTCCAGCAGTGCCATCAGCACTGAACTGGCAGAAACCAGTGGGACCATGGTCCACCCATATACTGTCCGGAGAAGTCTGGCCAGAAGTGGTCTTCATGGAAGAATTGTGGCCAGAAAGCCATACCTCCGACATGGAAACAAGGCTAAGTGACTCAACTATGCACAAAAACATAGAAACTAGGGGTGCAGAAAAATGGCAGCAGGTGCTCTGGACGGATGAGACAAAATGTTAAATATTTGGCTCTAGCAGGAGGCAGTTTGTTCACCGAAGGGCTGGAGGGAGGTACAATAATGAGTGTCTGCAGGCAACAGTGATGTATGGTGGAGGTTCCTTGCAAGTCTGGGGGTGTATTTCTGCCAGTGGTGTCCTCAATGCTGAGAAATACAAGCAGATACTTATTCATCATGCCATACCATATGTGAGATGTGTGAATGGCCCCAAATTTATTCTGCAGCAGGACAACGACCCCAAACATACAGCCCATGTCATTAGAACTATCTTTAGCGTAAAAGAAGAACAAGGAGTCCTGGAAGTGATGGTTTGGCCCTCACAGAACCCTGACCTCAACATCGGGTCTGTCTGGGATTACATGAAGAGACAGAAGTATATGAGGCAGCCGACATCCACAGAAGATCTGTGCTTAGTTCTCCAAGATGTTTGGAACAACCTACCTGCCAAGTTCCTTCAAAAACTGTGTGCAAGTGTACCTAGAAGAATTGAAGATGTTTTGAAAGCAAAGGGTGGTCACACCAAATATTGATTTAATTTGGATTTCTCTTCTGTTTATTTACTTTCCATTTTTGCTGATTGATAAAAATAAACTATTAACACTTTTATTTCTGAAAGCATTCTTACTTTACAGAATTTTTTTTTACACCTACCTAAAACTTTTGCACAGTACTCTATGTGTGAGAGCTCATCTAATAATCATACATGTTGCACAAATGACTAAATTCTGTCACCTGACTGGCTGCTCATAGCATTTTCTTTTCTTCCACTTTTTACATACAAACAATGTGATAACAGTAACAATTTATAAAGAACAGGTCAAATAATAGAACATCTAAAACTCCTGCAGAGGAAGCTGGTCATGATCTTAAAAAGGAGAATTATGAGGAGGGTGATTTTCACTCAGCCTCATAATCTGAGCCGACCTGTGACAATGAAACTGTCACAGGTCGGCTCAGTAGATCGGGAGGTGAGCGAACA